TGCCATGATACACTTCCACAAACATGATCAAACTTTGATAGGTCCCTGTTCTTTAAATAAAACAGGGCACACACTGACACCTGATAGTCATCTCACTGATTGAAAACACCTCTGATTGTTTTTGTTTTGTTGTTTTTTTGTTTTTTTTTAAGGGTACCACAGCTTCTGTACAGCAAATGTCGAGCTCATGGTGTGAATCTTATTTCTCTTCCAGTAGGATTATTACTAGTAACCTCTGTGACGTAAATGTGAATTTTTATATAAAATTGCTGTTTGACATGCCCACGTTAGAAACACTAAGGTTGCCCTGCTAAGACTTGTGGTGAAGAGGTGAGGTGTTCATCAGAATAAGCACAATTAAGTTTTTCACCAGCACATGCAATCAGCCACAGCCGGTTCTCCTGAGCTCTGGAATTAAAGTCTCACGGCTGATGTGTGTATGTGTGTGTGTGTGTGTGTGTGTGTGTTTGAAAGCAAGAAGCTGGCAAGGTCAACATCATCAACTATTCAACTGCCACCTCTTCATTCTGACTCATAAAAGTGCGTAGTTTCCTAAAGAAGGGAGGGAGGGAGGGAGAGAGAGAATGGGGCATAGAAGGAGAGGAAAAGTGAAGATGAGCAAATGGGAAAAAAATAGAAGTTTGGTCTGACTCATTTTGTGTCCTTTGTAAAGATGATGGACAGTGGGAAGGAGCGACTGGATTGATGTTGAAGGTTGGCTTCATTCTAATAGGTTGCATACGTGTTCTGCGATTCGTCATCATCGCTGTTTTTAGAGTTTGTCCTCCATTCTGACATGTGCTAATTTTTTTTTGTAGCACTGAGTGACACAAAGTGGCTTTTAGCAGGAAGCTCTTCACATTACAGGTAATAGCAGAACCCCTGCAAGGCCGCTCATTCAGTACAGCAGGAGGTGAGATTAAGCAAAACTTCTGTGTATGTACTTGTGAGGCTGTCTAAATCTCTCCTGAGTTCAATCATTATCTCTCTCACCTCTTTTGAAGCTGTGATATTATTCAAAAAATTTTGGCACTAAATTCATAACCATAAAGTTTAACTTTTTTTTTCATTGAATTCCAAGCAATAAGCTACATTTTATTTTATTTTATTTTTTATTTTATAATTTATATTTATTTGTTATTATTTATTTTATTATTATTATTATTATTATTTATTTTAATGTTTATACTCAGATCAGGATGTTTACTACAAC